TTGCCTGTTAGTTAATGAATTCTGGAAACAGATTGGTATAGAAATATCGGGAATTGTGGGTAGGAAAGTGGGAATATCTAAATTAATGGTTCTTATTAGTCTGAGTAGCACTGAGTTAAAAACAAGAGAGGAATGTAAATGGGTAAAATTGATGGTAACTGCAGCCAGACAGGTTATAGCGAGTAATTGGGAAAATGCAGAAGAGCTAGGGGTGAACCAATGGAGGAAAAAACTGAATAATATTATAATTTTAGAATATCTCACTGTGACGATACACAGAATGAAAGGGTTTAAGTTCAGTGAGAAAGAGGAGGATTGGTTTGAGAAGATACTGAATTATTTGGGTAGGTTTGAACAATTTGGGGGCAATTAAAATGTTTAAAGTTAAATAAACCTTGTGGTTTATAAAATTGTACATATGGTTGATTTGAATATGCTATTATTGATTATGTATACCCAATGTATCAGCCGCTTGGGGGGGTGGTTTCACTGTTTGTGTTTTGGTTGTTGGTAATTTATTTATTTATTATATATATGAAGTCAAATTTTGGAAGGTTGCAGAGACCAATACGGGAGAGACATGTTTTGTTGCAGCTGGGGCAGACGAAGGTGTCCAGTTCTGCTTCTGCAGATGCACCAGGGCGTTTTTTCTCTCTGCGCTCCTCCCAGCGGTCTTTCCTCATCTGGTCACTGCTGAAGATATACAACCTGACTGTCTGTCTCCAGGCACTGCGGTCATCTGCCAGGGATTCCCACACAGCAGGGCTGATTTTGCCAGGCTTCATGCCACATTTGCAGACATCTTTATAAGAGGCTGTTTGATTCCGACAGGCCTTTGGGAACCGGCTGTTTTTTTAAGGAAAGGGTTTTTAATAGCGCTGTGCTGTTTTACGATCTGTGTTTTAATAGATTTGTATTTTTTATAGACTTTTAATTCTATTACAAGTTTAATTCATGGGTAGGCAAACTAAGGCCCGGGGGCCAGTTGCTTTCTAAATCCGGCCCGCGGACAGTCCGGGAATCAGTGTGTTTTTACATGAGTAGAATGCGTCCTTTTATTTAAAATGCATTTCTGGGTTATTTGTGGGGCCTGCCTGGTGTTTTTACAGGAGTAGAATGTGTGCTTTTATTTAAAATTCATCTCTGGGTTATTTGTGGGGCATAGGAATTCATTCTTTTTTTAAAAAAAAAAAATAGTCCGGCCCCCCACAAGGTCTGAGGGACAGTGGACCGGCCCCCTGCTGAAAAAGTTTACTATTACTATTATCTTTTCTGTTTTTATCTTCTTGTGCTTTATCTGTCTTGCTTTGATTTGTGTGAGCTGCCTTGAAGCCCAGTCTGGGAAAAGGCTGGCAAATCATCATCATCATCATCATCTGCTGATTTTGACCCCAGCTGCTACAGAACAAGACGTTCTCTTTCTTGCCTTCAGGATTGCATCAATTAAACACCCTGCTTTCGAGACTTAGGAGGCAAAATTGCTCACGACCAAATCATACCTTTTCCTGAGAACAGGAGCATACACATCTATTTTTCCCCCTGTGGTTGAGCCTCCCTAGGAATCACGCAAAGTCCACGATCCTTTTGTTTTTCAAAGCACTGAGGGCACCCAAGATTCTCTCTTCAGAGACGCCGCTTCCCAGCTTTATTTTCTCGCTGTTTTTCAGTGATCAGTGAGAGTCCATTTGTCTGAAAGAGCCTCTCTGTATTCCACCGAGCCTGTTCTATTATTATCCCAGCTGCCAAAATCCCCCAAAGTGAATTTTTTTAATGCACAGCTGGGTTCTCCTTCATTCGTACCTACACCCAAGTTGCTATCAGTCCACTGACTGCTGCAATGAGCTTGAGGTGGGGCTGTCCTTAAAGGCAGCTTGCAAGAGCAGCAGATCTTGGGAGCCAGGAATGTAGGGATGCTAGAGGAATTCAATCTTTGCCCATTCTGAGATGAACTCACCCAATCGGCACCTTCCAGGCTAATGCACAGAACAGAACTTAGTGACCCATCAGCTCTGAGGCTCTCTTGGCTCAAGAAAGCATTTTTCTTAAGTCGATATATTGTTCTTATATTTCATGTGAGAACTGGCCTTTTCAGTGGTGGCTCCCCATTTGTGGAACGCTCTCCCCAGGGAAGCACGCCTGTCACAAATTTTGTCAGCTTTCAGGTGCCAGTTTAAGACAGTTTTGCCTGAGCTGGGCCATCCTTCAGCGCCCTTCAGCTAACCGCCACCTTCATGCATGAGGATATTCCGTTTGTGGTTTGCAACAAGCCGCAGTTACCTGTTTCATTCAGACAAGTGGCTTGCGCAAACCACAGTTAGCAAGCCAGGATCTCATAGTCACAAAAGGATTTTTAGTCAATGTCTGAATGCCTCCATCCTTTCCCCAGTCTTGGCTAAAGAAAGAAAGTGCCCTGATTAATCGGGCAGTAGATTATTTTTTTAAAAAAATTATTAATAATAAAATAAGTGCTTTTAAAACCTCCCTTCAGTCACAGACAGGAAGGACTGTTCTAAGAGGATCTCTGCTATGATAGATGGGTGTGTCCTGGAAGTAATGGAGCGTGTTACTTCTGGGTTTCGCTGTTCGCGCATGCGCAGATGGTCAAGATGACATCATGCGCATGCGCGGAAGCGGCAAAACGCAACCAGCGCATGTGCAGACGCGCTGCCGTGTCTTACGCTATGTTCAGGATGTGAACGGGGCTCCGGAACAGATCCCGTCCGCATCCCGAGGTACCACTGTAATAATAATAATAATTTATAATTATTTATTATTTATACCCTGCCCATCTGGCTGGGTTTCCCCAGCCACTCTGGGCTGATCTCAATCAAATATTAAAAACACAATACAGGATTAAACACTTCCTTAAACAGGGCTGCCTTCCGATGTCTTTTAAAAGTAGGATAGTTGCTTATTTCCTTGACATCTGATGGGAGACAAGGAACCAAAGATGCTTCTCCCTTCAGAAACATTGCTTTTACCAATCTAAAAATTCAACTAGCCAATTACTAGAAGACTCAAGTAAACCTCATACAAAAACCCACAGAGATGTATTTAATTGTGCTGTGGTCTTAATTACTATTCTTTCAATGCAGAATTCTTTCCGAAAGAACCAGTGTCTGTCGTTTGCCCTCATCATTCTTGGGGATTGTATTCACACACACATATACCAATCTCAAACTGGGACTCCAGAATTCCTCCCTCCTTATTTCACTTTGCAACCCCACTGCTGAGGACGCCAGCTTGCCACTGGGAGCTTCGCTCACTGCCAACTCTAATCACCTGCGTTTGCAAGATATAGAGGCTTTGGGGGCTGCTCGCAGGACGCCGTATAGGTTCTGACACACCATCTGGCTGGCTGCTGGGGTCTTCCCTTCCTGGAACTGTGAGGCAGGCGGGGTTTTTCCGCCACTTACACAAAAGCTTCCCTCACCCCACAACACACTGTAATTGCTACATCAAAGCAGAACAGATAGGTTTCTCCCTTTATCATGAAATAAGTGTGTCACCACCCTCATTCGTACACTGCCGTCCCTTGTGGAAAATGCAAGGCGCAACTGAGCCATTGCAGCCCATGCTCTAGCAACCTCCCGCTTAGACTACTGCAATGTGCTCTGCATGGAACAGCCCTTGAAGATGGTTCAGGAATTCTACATACAGTGGTACCTATGGTTACGTACTTAATTCGTTCCAGAGGTCTGTTCTTAACCTGAAACTGTTCTTAACCTGAAGCACCGCTTTAGCTTATGGGGCCTCCCACTGCCACTGCACGATTTCTGTTCTCATCCTGAAGCAAAGGTACTATTTCTGGGTTAGCGGAGTCTGTAACCTGAAGCGTATGTAACCTGAAGTGCATGTAACCCGAGGTACCACTGTACAGTCGTACCTCGGGATAAATGTGTTTCAAGTTAAGTATTTTCGGGTTGCGCTCCACGGCGACCCGGACGTAACACAGTGCGTTACAGTGGTACTACGGGTTACATACGCTTCAGGTTATATACGCTTCAGGTTACAGACTCCACTAACCCAGAAATAGTGCTTCATGTTAAGAACTTTGCTTCAGGATGAGAACAGAAATCGTGCTCCCGCGGTGCGGTGGCAGCAGGAGGCCCCATCAGCTAAAGTGGTGCTTCAGGTTAAGAACAGTTTCAGGTTAAGAACGGACCTCCAGAATGAATTAAGTACTTAACCTGAGGTACCACTGTACTTCCAGGTTTCGCCGCGCGCGCATGCGCAGATGGTCAAAATGACATCATGCACATGTGCGGAAGCAGCGAAACGTGACCCTTGCACGTGCTGACGCGGGTTGCGTTCGCATCAGGATGCTAACGGGGCTCCAGAAGGGATCCCGTTCACATCCCGAGGTACCACTGTACTGCAAAGTGTAGCGAACAAGAGTCTTGCTGGGTCTGACACCAAATCAACTGTATTCAGAGGCGGAGCAACCTGCTCCGGTACCTAGAGCGGCGCTCGTCCCAGGGGGCGTGGTGCACGTCTGAGGGAGCGTGGCATGCGTCCGAGGGGGCATGATGTGCGTCCTGGGGGTGCGCGGCGAGTGGTGCATGCCCCAGGAGGCGCCGCCAATTGGGGGTTGGCATTTTGTCCCCCCCCTTTGGAATGGCACACAGGGCGCACCCTGCTGCCTTGGAATGCCCCAGACTGTATCAAATTAGTTCTCAGAAATCTGCACGGACTGCCAGTTAAATACCAAACCCGATGAAAGCTTTGGTGTCAATGCAATAAGTAACCCATAAAGGTTTAGCTGGTGTCAACATTGTTCAGCTTTAAGCTCAGTGGAAGACTGTCTTTTGGGAAAGGCTTTTTAAGGTGGAGGGGTGCCTAGGTCTCAGGATATTCATGGACTCCCTCCCCTTTTTTATTGCATTAAGGATATTGTATTTTTCTGCAATGATTACTGTGTGATGTAATTTGCCCTGGGGTATTAGCACTGAAGGCACAATGTAAGCTTCAATAAAGAATGAGTGGGACCGTGCTATTGTTCCTATCATCAGCTCAGTCAGTAGAGCATCTTAATCTCAGGGTTGTGGGTTCGAGCCCCACTTTGGGAAAAAGTTCCCTGCATTGCACGGGGTTGGACTAGATGACCCTCGTGGTCCCTTCCACCTGCTGGCCTACTCTGCAGGGCTGTTACAGCGACTCCTGAACTAATGCATCAGAAGCACTTTGGAAACCTGAAATGCACCACATAAATGACAGGACATCATTTCAGTCTGCAGGCAGGATTTGAATGGCCCAATGGTTTGAATGGCCCAATTTGAATGGCCCAATTGTTGCCATTAATTTGATTTTGAATTTATTTTAGAATGCTGTGTTACTTTTATTGTTGTTAGCCGCTCTGAGCCCGGCTTCGGCTGGGGAGGGCGGGATATAAATAAAAATTGTATCATCATCATCATCATCATCATCATCATTACCAGGAGTGGGGGCCCTCAGGGGCCCAATGTGCTCCTTGGGACTCTCCCCAGGACTGAACCCTCACTGCCTTTCCTGCACACCCTTCTTGAGTGTTTCCGCCTAGTGGGAAGGCGCCCTTAAAACTTTAATAATGCTTCTCGCTTGCTTGGATAGAGGACAGATAGAGTTGTGTGACTGTGGACAGCAGCCTACAGCACAAAGGTAAAAATCCTCATTTGCTTCTCTGGCCACTTTCCCCTCTGATCCTGCTCACCTTAGGCTCAAAAAGCCATTTTGCAAGGACAGCAGCCCTGGAGGCTGAGGTGAGGAAAGGCGGAGCTTGAAATGGGGGCTGCCATTCCAGGGAAAATCCTGGCTTGCCTTCTCCAGGAGCTTTTTTTCTCCCGGGGTGGTGGTGGGGCGGTGCTCAGCTTTGCAGCATTAATTGCTCACTCCTGAAGAATGGGAAATGCGTAGCGATTGCCCTGGAGAACTTCCCGGCGGAGTTTGCGCTGCTCTCCGTCTATATTTAGAAGAAATACATTAAATAATGAAGGCAGGAGATGGAATCCCTCAGCCTGTAGCCCAAATGCAGAACCATAACTGAGAGAAGGAGGAGAAGACGAAGAAGCATCCTTTGAAATCCATTTTCTGATTCCACAACGTCATCACTTTTATCCTGCAAAGATTTCCAGCCAATGACGATGCTCAACAGACCGTCATTCTTAGACGAGCCTCTGCCTTTCATTTAGACTATGGTTACCATATTTTTTCCAAGGAATCCGGGGACACTTTTTAAAAATAAAAATTCATGCTTTATTATTTTAGGAAAGGGTTGCCCAGAGTTCTTGACCTTTTTTAGTTAGGGGGACCCCAAAGTTGTCAGGCACCTTGACAAAAGGCAGGCGGAGAGGCCATCTACAAACACCTCCCAAAAAGAGGTTGGGGTGGGGGTAGAGAGAGATCGAGTAAAGGCGCTCGCTGGTCTTGGGAAAACACGCATTAAAACACACACGCAAGGCTCTGTCTCTCTCTGTCTCTCAACGCAGCACAGCTCTTTTCTAGGCTTCTCCTCTTTTTCACCGCCTCGCTTGCCCCCCCCCACCTTAGGTGTGCAGTGCCTGCAGCAGAAGAACGCCACGGGCTCTTCTGTTCAATTTTGGGGCGAGCGTTGATCAAGGAAGCGAGCGAGAAGGAAGCTCTCTGGCTCGCGCCTTGGTTTAAATACCCCCCCCCAGCCAGTGGATTGGCTGGCTGGAACTTTGACGTGGCCGGGACCTCCGGTGCCGCTCGCTCCCATGGCATCCCCCATGTTGCTTCGCCGGACGTCCCCAGGCATAAATCCGGGGACATTAATTTAAAAACCGGGGACATTCCGGGGACAGATTTTGTCCGGGGACAGATTGGTGAATCCGGGGCATGGCTGTCAACCGTCCCTTATTTGGCAGGAAAGTCCCTTATCCCAGTGCCGGGTCCCGCTGCTGTCCCTTATTGATGATGTCCCTTAAATTTCCCAGGTTTCAAAGGAAGCAGCTCCTCTCCCTCCCTCCCTGCCGGCCAGGGAGGAGGGAGGCTCCAACTGTGTTGCTTGGCTGCGTTGCTCACCCAATAAGGAGTCTAAGAACGACTGGGGGGTGGAGCTTGCATGCCTTGTGCTGATCAAATCGGCCGTGTTGCCTGGGGACTCGTCTTTGCTCAGCGCTTCCCAGCGGAGAGGTGATGGTGGTTTTCCTTGCTGCATCCCCTTTGCCGGGTTGCTGCGCTGTGGGAGCCACCGCTTGAGGCTTCGTTTGGCTGCTGGGCTGGCTGGGCTTTCTGCCTTTGGCTCGGGAGCTGGTTGACTAAAATCCCTTATTTTGGCTGCTGATCCCTTATTTTCGAGGCTGCTGGTCCCTTATTTTCAAATCTGTAAGTTGATCCGGGGACTGTCCCCGGGAACCACGGAAGTCTGGTAACCCTAATTTAGACTGGATACAAGGGGGATTCGGAGAGGACTGCCCCCCCAATTAAAAAATCCCAAAGTGAAATAGGGCTATGCAATGCCTGGCTCCTGCTTACCCTGCCCAGATGAAAAGCAAATTACATTGGGCACTGCCTTAGACCAAGTCAGATGGTTGCGCCATCTAGCCTAGTAGTGTCCACACTGGCTGGAAGCAGCTTCCCAGGGTTTCAAGCAGGGAGTCTCTCTCAGCCCTACCCAGCTTAAGACATCTGAAGGCAGCCCTGTTTAGGGAAGCTTTTAACGTTTGATGTTTTATCATGTTTTTTAATTATCTGTTGGGAGCCCCCCAGAGTGGCTGGGGAAACACAGCCAGATGGGCAGGGTATGTGTGTATGTATGTACCATATTTTTCGCTCTATAAGACACACTTTTTCCCCTCCCAAAATTAAGGGGAAATGTGTGTGCATCTTATGGAGCGAATGCAGGCTCCTTGGCTTCAGCGATAGCAACCCAAAGCCTCCTAAGTGCAGAGGGAGAGCTCCCCCCGCACTCCGGAGGCTTTGCGTTGCTTTCGTTGAAGCCGCCTGAAGCTCCCGGAACGCAGCGTGAACTCCCGCTGTGCTCCGGCGGCTTCAGGCAGCTATCCGCAAGCCTTCGGAGTGCAGTAGGAGTTCCCGCTGCACTCGGAAAGCTTGCAGATAGCCGCCTGAAGCCTGGAGAGCGAGCTGGGTCGGTGCACACCAATCCCTCTTGCTCTCCAGGCTTCGCTTTGCTGGAGAGGCGCTGCACAGTTTTCCCTCTCTGCGCAGCGTCCCTTCAGCGAAGCGGGAGGAGACATGGAAGGGGCTCCATTTCTCCTGCCGCTTCACTGAAGGGGCGCTGAGCAGAGAGGGGGAGAATTTTTTTCCCCTGTTCTCCCCCTCCTATGGTCCGGTGTGTCCTATAGAGCGAAAAATACGATATGTATAAATAAATAAATAAATAACTAAATAAATGGCCTAGGAAGGGGATGGGACTCTCCTTCACTGGAGATTTGCAAGTGATGGCGGGACCTATCATAGGGACCCAAAGGGTGATCTAGTTCAGCCCCCTGCAACGCAGGAATATTAGGCAAGGCTCAGCTCTTGCAAACCTACCTTGCTGCAGAAAATGGCAGTGTGGTATAGCTGAGAGTGCTTAAGTCTACTAGGGTTGATTCAGCGGTGCATTTCCTGAATGGGACAGGGTCGACAGACAAGACTGATTCCCCTCTGATTCTACAATTCTAAGCAGAAGATCAGTCGCGGCAACTGCCAACAGCCCAGAAGAAAAAGGAAAGTGTGGAAATCTTTGGAATCCATTCCTTTGACACGTTTAAATAAACTCCTGGGCAGCAAAGGTCTTGTAAAATAAAATTCAGCACGGCCACTGTAAATGAATTTTCATTTTACAAGAACTTTTATTAACTCCCAGTTCCTAAGTGCCCCAGACAGCACGAAAGTCTCTTCCGGAATGACAAGACAGGCTTAGCTTCTAAAGACCAGATCGAGGGAGAGCAACTGAGGACAGGCTCTCCCTGCTGAAATGACACTTATGGCCCCAGTGCACACACTTACAGACATTCAGACAGACCCAGGTTTCATTCCCAGCATGGCCAAATGAAAGGTTCAGGTAGCAGGTGATTCTTCAGAGAGCCAAATAATGACATAGGAAGATACCTTATGCTGAGACAGATCATTGGAATGGAAATATTTAATAATTTCTTGGGACCAGGTTACCTGGAAGACTGCCTGCCCCTGAATAAGATCACTCTAAGATCACTTAGATCATCTGGGGAAATTCTGAGCATGGCATCACACACAGAGTATCATAGGCTGGCGACCCAAAAATGGGCTTTTCCTGACCCATAAGATTGGACCCTGATCTATGTGCATGAATTCTCCCGAATCTCCATCTTTTTGGCTTTTATATTGTTTGATTGGTTTTTAGGTTGCATTAATATATATATATATATATTGTGTGTACAAAAATGCATATGCTGAGGATAAGGTATGCATTCAAATGAGCATATTGGCGAAAACAAGGCAGAAAGAATGTATTATTTTGGTGGAAATCACTTTGCAGAAATATGTGTGTTAGGCAAAGTTGCGTACAACCGGTGAATGTTAGGGGGAATTTGCAGTGAAGCTTCACAAGCACTATTTTTTAAAAATGCAGATTGATGTGGGAAGAGGAACTGAAGATTGGGGAAACGAGAAACTGAAAGAAGCTAAAGCGGACGGATTCAGCCATCCCTCTACATCAAGCGAATCATTGATGTAAGGGATTCTCCTCTCCCAAGTACCAAAAATCACTGGATTGAAAAGCCAACACTAGTTAGAGTTGTAAGCAACTCCCAAATGGATGCAATAATGAGAAAGCTTTACAGTACTTGTTCTGCATGGTACAGTGGCATGCAGTTAAGTCTCCGAGCTGAGAAGAGATCCTCTCTCTCACACACACAAACACACACACACACACATGGAACACAGTGCTGTCTTACAGGCCACCACCTACTCCAAAGGCTAGCAACATGAACAGATTCAGAAAGGAAGATGAAAATATGAGACTCCATAAATCAGTGCGTGTGCGTGCACACACACACACCAGCCGTCCTTTGTCTTCAGAGGGGAAGCCTTCAAATGGAGTCCTAAGAAGAGCCCTACTGGATCAGGCCAAGGGACCAGCTAGATG